TGATAAGAGGAATGGCTGTGTTTATTGCTTAATGTTATATGGCCCTGGTTATGCACAGTATATATGTGACTGTATGAAAATGGAAAATAAAAACACATTTACATTAAAAAAAAAAAAGACGTTCCAGGCTATCACCTGGGCCATCAAGGCGGCCGCCTCTGCTTCTTTCTTTAACAGGTCCACGGTCCTGTGGTTGGAGCAACTGAGGGACAGGACTCCACCATCAGAGTTTTGACTCCTATAGGACATTTCCGAGATGCTGGCGGCAACGCAATTCTCAGCAGACGCCACCTTGGACGCGGTAAAGTATGCCTCGCGGGCTATGTCTTCCTCAGTTGCTTCTAGGCGCCTGCTCTGGCTACGCCACTGGCAGGCAGAATCCCGGATGAAGTGGCACCTAACCGGCGCAGACTACACTGGGGGAAAGTTATTTGGGACGGCACTGGATCCCCTCCTCATAGAGGATAAAAACAAGCGGAAGGTTCTCCCATCAACAACCAAACGTTCGGACTTCCGCCACGCGCCATACCCTAGGAGGACCTCCTACAGACCACCTGACGGAGACAGCCAGAACCAGAAGTACCAAAACCCCAGGTTCCACAGGCAGGGGGATAGACAATTCCAGAACAGGTTCAGGGGCCAACAACAGGGCAAACGGCCCTTTCGAGGAGGAGGCGGTCGCCCCTTCCGCATTCAAGTGATCCAACCCCAGATCACCCCATCGGCGGACGCCTCTCCATGTTTGCGGATGCCTGGGATCGTATCACATCGGATGAGTGGGTACTCCAGACGGTAAGGCTCGGGCTACACGTGGAGTTGCACTCCCTCCCCCCCAGTAGGTTCCGCACCTTCACCTCCTCCACAGACCCGACCAAGAGGGCCCTTAAGGCCAAGGCCATTAAGCACTTATTAGACATCAGGGCCATCGAGAGGGTCCCAGAGGGGGAGAAGGGCTCAGGGTTCTACTCGAACCTCTTTCTAGTCCCTAAAAGCTCGGGGGGATGGAGAGCCATCCTGGACCTTAAACTACTCAATTCCAGGGTGGTATACCGCAAATTTAAGATGGACTCCCTGAAATCCATCCTGGAGGGCATCTGGCCGGGCGACTTTGTGGCATCCATCGACCTCACAGAGGCATACCTCCATATCAGGATCGCCCCCGGAACACCGTAAATTCCTGAGGTTCTCCCACGAGGGGAATCATTTTCAATATAGAGCTCTGCCCTTTGGGTTGGCCTCAGCTCCCAGGACATTCACCAAGGTGCTTGCAGCAGCAGCAGGTCACATACGCTCCCTCCCAGTCCGTTTCTTCTGCTACCTAGACGACATCCTCGTCTTAGCCAGGTCTTCTGACTCGGCTGGGACTTGGGTACTACCATCGACACTCTCAGATCCCTGGGTTTCTCCATTAACCTGGAGAAGAGCCACCTCATGCCCTCCACCAGGCTCCTTCACCTAGGGTCCATCATCGACTCAGTGGCTGGGGAGGTTTTTCTCTCCCAGGATCGCAAGGACAGCATCGTTAAGATGATCCACGAGGTTCGCAAGTCACGCTCTGTCCCTGTAGTTCTTCTTTCCAGGCTCCTGGGGAAGTTCATCTCGTGCATAGGGATCATGCCGTGGGCCAGACTACACGCCAGGGAGCTCCAGTGGTTCCTGCTGCCCCATCAGAAAGCCGGGACGAGCGACACTACTTTCAGGATCCGGGTGTCACCCCAGGTGCTACTATCCTTCCGCTGGTGGCTGTCTCCAGCTCTGAACAGAGGCTGCCTCTTCAGAGAACTGGCAAGGATGACGCTCACCACTGACGCAAGTCTCTTCAGCTGGGGGGCCCACCTGGAGAACCAGATCGCCCAGGGCTGATGGACTCCAGCAGATCTGAAACACAACATCAACTGGTTGGAGCTCAGAGCCATCCACCTGGCTCTTCGGCACTTCAAGAGCATGGTGAGTGGAAAGCACATCCTAGTCCTGACAGACAACGTAGCGGCCCACGTGAACAGACAGGGCAGCACCCACTCCAAGGCTCTTCGCGACGAGGCGCTGCGGCTGGGAAACTGGGCAGAGAAGCACCTGCCGTCCATCAGAGCAGAACACATCTCCGAAACAGAGAACCATCAGGCAGACTGGCTCAGCAGAGAGACGATCGACAACGGAGAGTGGCAGCTCCACCCCTTGATCTTCCACCAGATCTGCAAGAGGTTCGGTCATCCGACTGTGGACCTGTTCGCGACCCCACAGAACGCCCAGCTGCCAGAGTTCGTTTCGAGGTTTCCAACCGCGGGAGCCATGGACACGGATGCTCTTCGGTGCAGTTGGCCACCAGGTCTTCTCTACGCTTCCCCCCCTTCCCCTCATCCCTGTGGTCCTGAGGAGGGTGGTAGTGGAGAAAGCAGAGGTGTTAATGGTGGCTCCCTTTTGGCCGCGCCACCCCTGGCTGGCAGATCTAGTGGATCTGTCCACAGCCCCTCACAGCGGGGGAGGTGGCACTACACCAGGGGTCCCTAGAGCATCCGGACCCGGAGTGGCTTCATCTGACTGTCTGGCAATTGAGCGGGAACAACTAAGGCAGGCTCAGTTTTCCGAAGAGGTCTTCAAGGTGGTAGAGGCATCCAGGAGGCAGTCCACCACCCGTATCTACAACGCCTCCTGGGTGACATTCTCAGACTGGTGCCGGGGTAAAGGCCTCTGCCCAACGGTGGCCTCGGTTCCTCAAGTCCTGGACTTCCTCCAGGAGGGACATCAGAAGGGCCTGGCCACCAGTACTCTTAGACCAGTACTCTTAGACGTCAGGTCTCCGCTCTTTCTACGGTTCTGGGGGGTGGTGAACGCTCCTCCCTTGTCCCAACATCCGGTACTTAAACGGTTCCTCAAAGGAGCGGCGAATCTGAAACCCTCAGTGGTCCATCGATTCCCCACCTGGGATCTGCCCACGGTCCTCCAGGCCCTGACGGAGGTACTGTTCGAACCCTTGAGGGAGGTTTCCCTTCAGCTACTGACCCTTAAGGTCGCCTTTCTGGTCGCCATCACTTTGGCCAGAAGAGTCTCTGAGATCAACGCTCTCTCCAGCAGAGCGGACCTCTGCACCAGAGCCAAGGTGGCGCAGTGGTTAAATGCAGCACTGCAGGCTACTGCTAGATCAGCAGGTCAGCGGTTCAAAT